AGAATGTTCTTTCATTCAAATATCATTGTATGTATAAAATCAGTTAGACGTGGGCTGGTTGCGCCAAGGCGTCATATCAACTTGACGTAAACATAATATTGATTCGACCTCCAACTAAATAAAACTGTGTGTCAACTATTTTTACCGCATTTATTTCAGTTGACAAAAAATCAATTTTATTACATACCACCTTCTATAAAGACTCCAAGAAATGAGGAAATAATTAAAGAAGTTCGATTTACAACAGTCCAACGTGTCGAAATGTTTAACTTCACCTAAATCTTAGCAGCTTAACTAATTTCTTCTTAGCTGTCGCTGTAAATGTAAAACTTTGATCTGGTAATTTATAAACGTTTTAACTTCAAATATGATAACAAGTGAAATGACATCATTCCTAGTTTATTATTAACACTTTTTATTATGTTAAAATACCAAAACTGGCATTAATCCGTTAGTGAGCGGCTCGGGTTATTTCTAACATCCTCTAGCATCATGGCATTAATAAAGTTTACCTCAGGAAACTGTTTTTACCCAACTATTCGATCAGTTAATAAAGACAACATTTCAAATTTGTCGCGGTACTGCGAGCTTTAAGCTTAATTTTTGAGAAAATAATGCTAATCGAATATACATTTTGAAAAAAAAAAAATAGTATCATAACAACAAATTCTATGGATTTTTTGAAGGTCAGTCTCAAATAAAGGATTGAATCTATTATTATTGCCCTTAAGGCTTGGGGAAGATTGTTATGTTTATTCATATCTGTTCTGTGATATTTTTAAAGCATCTGACTTTATGGATCGCAATACATTGATTGGTATATTTTTAATTTTTAATATGTAAGTGTTACAAATTTAATTATTATTATAATCTAAATCATTGAAGATAACAATTATGTGTGATTTGAAATTTAAATGCCTTGCAATGAACTATTTTGTGATTTCTTTCTTTCTTTTTATTTTAAAAGTAATTCTGATTCAAATTTTATTGCATCTTCAAACTTTTATTCTAATAAATATTTTATAATATCAAACTTCTAACTATCCGTCGAAAATGCAAACATTTTCATTCCAACCCAAAGGTTGAATGTTGTGAAATAATATTTCGGTTGAAAGTCGTAAAATGGAGAACATTTAATATTATGACGACAATTAAAAGAGAAATACTCGTTTACGTTCTTTTATAGCTCTTCAGACACCCAACGCCATAAAAATCTTCAACCAAAAGAATTTCCCAACGAAATCAAGTCGTTACGTTGGTAAACATGTAGAAGTTAATAACCGCTTTACGTTCGATTGATATAATAGCATATGGCATGGTTTTTGAGCATTTCTGGACTTAACAAATTGTGGTGTTTCAAACAAAATGTTATTTACATTTAGTTTGATAATCTCGTTACAATCCTACGCGGTGCTTCATAGCTCGATCATCAAATATTACGTTTAAGGCAGATTGTACACGGAGCCAGTGAATATTTTAATATATAATGATTGCTAAATAAGTATTTACGCAAAAACAGTATATTATTAATGTAGCTTGTAAATCGGTTCTGATACTATATTATATAATTGTAACTACGATATATTAATTACATCAGACATATGCATATCCATATTCAAGAACAGAGTTTATCACTAAGAGACAATTAAATTAATATAGAAAATAAAAATAGAGAGAAAAATTAATTTCAAAATATGAAATATATGTTGAAATTGTTAATTAAAGTTATTCTGCGGATTTAATTACGTTATATTTTTATTTGGGAACATCGTACGAATCGTCGATTAAAAAAAATCAGTTTGTATATAACTCAATTATCGTTACAGTGAACAAACTGAACGGGCGAATATCATTACAAAAATATTGCATAATTTATGGTTAGACTAATCTATGTTTTATAATCTGCACTAAGATCAAAATTAGCGTAAAGTTTTAAAGTTTACATTTTGTTCCCTATTTTTCTTTGTCGTAGCTTCGTAGACTCGACCACGAACGTATGTCGTAGGCCTTACGTTTAACAAATAGGTTCAAATAAAGCTGAGGTACAACCGAATAAATTAATTGGATGCGATGTTGGCCACGCCAAGGGTATTATTTATTATACAAACACTAATTTTATCTGATTGCTTTGATGGTTTTATTGCCGTTGACTATAGGATTACATTAAATGGGTGAAACATGGGTCAGACTCAAACTGACATTGGACTGAATTTAACAAGGCTTATAAAGCAATCTTCACTTGTGAACCATGCTTTTTGCGTATTTTTGAACAATTTTGACATTGCGAAACATTTAGAAGTAGAGAAACACAGCTTCCCGGAAATCCTACGTAAAGTAGATGTATTTATCGCCCTTTTAAGAAATTTGACAATGCCTGCAAATCCAATGAGAAACTATGAAATCCTTATTACTTTGTTATGGATGCTAGTAATTTCTCAAAATCATTTACTTGATTTTGAAACTTTAATATAATATAGATATCGCGTTGGGACTGTGACATAAAGACTTTAAACACTTTGTCCGTCAGTAGCCAGCCAGTAGACACTGCTAGCTATTACCAAGATCCAGGGCCCACTTCTCTTAAAGTTTTGCAACACATCTCTGACTACAAAATTTGTTGTATACCTAAGTCCATGAGTAACCGCAAATATTTAACATCAGGTGAACTGTATCACTACCGTATCGTATAAAAATTTATTTAATTTTAAATTCAGATATCTTTATTCAACATAGGAGCATTGCACTCACTTATTGATAGTCAAAATATTATCACTACCGGTTCGGAATAGAAAAGCCGGTTCTTCTCAAGTCAGTACTTGAGAAGAACCGGCGAAAGAAACTCACCGGGCTACTGTTTTTTCCATTTTTAGGGTTCCGTACCCAACGGGTAAAACGACACCCTATTACTAAGACTCCGCTGTCTGTCTGTCTGTTTGTCCGTGTGTCACCAGGCTGTATCTCATGAACCGTGATAAATAGAAAAGTTGCCGCTATAACAACAAATACTAAACACACCCCACACTACACAAACACTACACAGAAGAAAAAATATTTAAGTCGGGCCCCCATACAATAGACATGATTTTCGCCGTTTGTTTTTACATAGTGTGACATAAATTTTTTTTTTTTTTTTTTTATGTGAAAAGTTGCCAAACGAGCAGACGGTTCACCTGATGGTAAGTGAATAACGCCGCCCATGAACATCTGCTACACCCGAGGGTTACAGATGCGTTGGCAACCTTTTGAAAATTGGGCTTCGGCTACCTCACTCACCAGACGAAACGCGAAAGTATTTGTCATACTTCCACTTTACGCTGGTCTTCTGTGAGGTCGTGGTACTTACCCGGACGGGCCTACCCATTCGTGCAACAGTCGAGGCTGCTGCGTGGCCCTACCACCGTATAAAAAATATATTAAATACATAAAAAGCCTATTGAAAAAGCCTGGATCAATTCAATACCAGAATGTGTTATCATTTAAATAACCATGTTGTTTGTGTAAACGTAATAAACTAATTCGGTAATGACTCAATTTTTTTTTGTCAAATTTTTGACAAATGATTAGATGAAATACAACACCGTTTTAAAAATCACCGAATTGAAAAATCATATGTTCACGCTGTCCGCCATTTTGAATGTCGGCTGGCGTTCGCGGTGCAATTAGTTTCGGTTCGGCTTATTGTGTTCGCGCCAATTTTACAAAGGGCCCGTACAAAGGTTGGCTTTTTATGGCGAAAAAAGCGATGTCCGAACAACGAGGTCGGTTGTCACGTGCGTGCGGTGGGAGATCGGTCGATAGATTACGAAAAAAAATGTTTGGGTTGGAGGTGGCATTATTAAAAAATTGTCCATAGCAAAATTTGAATGGGATATTTCCCTGGCTCAATACATGCACTTCTCGCCAGGATTTGAGCTAGTGGTTCACTGTATAACAGTTTTTAAATAACTACATAAGAAATAAGAAATAGAACCACATTTGAAGACAAAAAATTACATGAAATCTGTTTCAGATTGGGGACGTGGTAGACTATACCCGAATACCCTTTGTGCTGATAAGGCCTGTGCCCCAGCAGTGGGACATATATCAGCTGTTACTTTAGTTTTTACCCGCTCCATTACCGAGTGCTCTCGGATTCTTCGCATATCGCGCCACGTACAGGAAGAGAGCGTAGATTCGAATCTTTGTGTACCAATTTCGACGGCCGGAGGCCCGTACCTTCCCGATCCTTCTGGACGTATCTAAACCGAACTATGTTCTCCTGGTACTTGTTGTCGAAAAGATAAAACATGTGAGATCGACAACCCGGTCCATAAAGCTTTATTGTTTATTTATTTATTTAATAATTCATTTACTTTATTAGGTACACCAACAGCATCATATTTGTATATATAATCCAAGCACTTATCCGGATTTGTAAAAAAAAAATAAATGCACTTGTAGTCCTGTAATTAAATGAAACCTTATACAAGATAGCGATAAGAATAGTAAATATTAAATTTTAAAATTAGCACACTAAATAATAGATAAAACAATTTCATTAAAAAAAACTTTAAGGGAATCGTTAAAAATTTGATAGGAAAAATAACTAAAAATCTAATTAAAATGTCGCTTTTTATGGTTTTATTGTTCTTTGAGAGAGATTTTTTATTCATACATTTAAGGATTCGAACGCAACACAACTGGGCAATCATTATCTGTTGAAGAGTTTAGGAACATATTATTAGATGTTATAAACCTATAAAATCATTTACCTTTATTTAGAAGAAGAAAGGAATGCATGAAAAACAAGAGAAGACAAATAAATCTACTGTTATACCTGCATTTTATTGACAAAAAAAATTATGTATGAATAAACAAAACGTGTTATTGACATTGTCCTCACTCTGTAGCTAGAAAAATTAATAATAATTTATTAATACTTTCTTCGACGGTCATATAAAGCAGATAACAGGGATGTAACCTAAAGGTTAGGTACGTAACAGCAAACACTGGTGGGGCAAATGTCAGTGGGCGGTGATCACCCAACTGCAGGTGACTAACTGCGGCAGGGCCAGGCAGCAGCCTTCGCTGTTGCACGAATGGGCAGGTCCGTCCGGGTAAGTACCACGACCTCACAGAAGACAGGCGTGAAGTGGAAGTACTTCTGCGTTTCGTCTGGTGAGTGAGGTAGTCGGGGCCCAATTTATTACACGTCGATGTTGGGTGTTGCAAATGTCCATGGGCGGCGGTTGTCACTTACCATCTGTCGGAACGCCAGCTCACTTGCCACCTTCTGACACAAACAAAATACTTACAGAGACCGTGGTGCGAGTTCGCTGGTACAAGAACAGCAACCTGCTCGGGGATAGTCTGCAGCAGCACCACCTGTTGCCGCGCCGCGTCCGGATGCACTCCAACCACAGCCTCCAGCTGGACTCGCTGAAGCCAGTGGACACCGCGACTTACACGTGCGAGGTACGGTCAGCAGAACATGCAACTTAACATCAAGTGAACAGGCTGCTACTTCTCATTGATGTAAAAAAAAACGTGTATTTATGTACGTGCGTGAGAAGTCATACTTCTTTGGCATCATTAAAAATAGTTTTTAATTGCATGCAAATAATTGATTACGATAAAATAATAAATGACTGGAAAAGGATATAAATAATGAAAATAATACAATTATGATAGCGCCATACACATTCATTATTGAGAACTGTAACGGGTGAATGTGTTGCCATCTATAATAAGCGGTTTAGCAGGCAGCTTCAAATGTGTTACTTTTGTGTTACAGTGATGCGCGCGCATCTTAAAATTTCACTCTCATCACTTTTTCATAACGCGCCTAAAGAAGTGTAACTTCAAAAAGAGTAAACATTTAACGATATTACTGTATTGAGGGTCTAATCTATCATTAGGCGTAAAGTTCCTCAAAGCACGCCACATTTGTTTTTGGCACAGTCCAAATTAATGGTGTCTGTTAATTTGATGAGGGTATCGTCGTCTCGATTGCGAAACGCATATGCGGGTAGCGTCAGAAGCGTACGCACCAATTAACTCTTTCAAACGTACCGCCATTCGATCTCAACCAATTGTTATTTGAAACTAGTGAGGTGACGACACGCTAGATTTAATAATATTTTATCGACATTTCAAATTACGGTGCCGGCACCGATGAAATTGTTAATTTTATCGTGCACATCGGTGTAGGAAAAATTGTGAAGAAACCTGTATGTTTTCGAAACAATAATTAAAAAAATATATCGAAGGTATGGTAAGTCTGCCAAACCGCAGTGGGCTACGCCCTAAAACCCTCTGTACAAAGGAGGCCGTTGCTTAAATTATCGACAATGTGATTTCTAGCAAGTGTGAATAATATTTATCGAATTGGTGCTTTCGCCTTATATACATATATATATATATATATATATATATGTATATATAGGGTAGTAAACAATGCAGCCGCTTCTATCCTTTCATAAATGAGCCGACTGGGGAAGTTTCACAGGTAAAATAGAAGGAATAGAAGTATTTTACTGTAGTGTGTATGGTAAGTGAAGTAAGAACCTTGTTGATTTGACTGAAAGATTAAGAAGCATTTGTTACATAAGTTCATATTTGAAGATTCTGTAATTAAAGTATGATGTTAACTAGAATAATAATTAAATAATCATAATCATCCAACCCATCGATATATTTGTCGTTAACGAACATCACTAGCATCGCTTCGATTACGGCATGTAGCTAGTGGCCAATTATACAATTACTCAATTTGTTCAACTCCTTGTTTGGGAGTCATTACAACTTTTACTGATATTTTTAAACGTTAGTTGTTTACAAACTGCGACGTATTTATTTTTTTATCACTCGAATGGTGAAACCATTGCTTGTGCATATACCAACTTTTTAATGTTATTTATGTATGTGGAATAATCTAGAAGAAGGTTTTATAAACTGGTAATACTCTTAATGCTCTTGGAGGAGATCCGGGATCTCCATCTCTCTATTGTACTGAAAGATACCACCTCGTGGAGGAGGGTTCTAATTCTAACTCAATACACCATGATTAATTCACTCACCCTCAGGGCGTACACTACCGGTGTGCTAACGCATTGTAAAGATTTTTTCTCTCTTATTTTTTCCAAACGCGGAAAAAAGTATAACTTTTATTTACGCACGTAAGAAGTTATACTTCTTTTATTGACGTATTTCGGAATTGATTTCAGGTGATCCGTCCTGAGCCGTGGGGTCCTATTAAGCAGTCTCACTCCATCGAAGTACAATGTGAGTTGTGAAAAAATTAACAGTAGTAAAAAAGTAACATTCACATTTTACTATTTATTTATTTCAGTAAACATAGGCAGTATCCCCGATCAAATATAACATGGCTATTGCGAAACTAATTTTAGTGTTTCACTGTACAAACTTTTATCTATTGTAGTCTATTTTTCGAAAACATTGCTCCCTTACTGTACTCGTAGAACAACATTATTCTATGTTGTAAGATTTTACACAGATTTCACACGGAAAAACACCCGGATCCGGAACAGTTCTCGGTGTCGAAGCCAATATCTTGGAAACTGTGCCTCGAAGTCATCTATTGAGATGGCAGTTTGAATTAAAACATGGGTATGAGTATTACAAGTGCACTGACACAGTCGTCCGAGTTGCCACGAAGTGCGGGCAGACTGAAAACCGGTGTCGGGATCAGAACGAATCTTAGTTACTGCATCTCGACTTTTCCCGAGACCCGTCCGTTTCACGGTCTTATGCTGCTACACAGACCTTCACTTATCGTTATTATTTTGTTTTTTTTTTGTTGTTTATATTTATTTTAAGTGTTGTATGTATCTATTGTGCTTAGACCGTGAATAAACGTTTCTTCTTCTGCTTCTCAAAGTAGATTAATATTAATACTTGCTGTGTCTTAGAAATGTCCTTGCCGTACCCATTTTTTTACATTTGAGTTATTTTCTATTCTTTTTTTTCTTTTACAAAAGAAGTTATTGGTCAAGGATCACTGTGGTAGGGTCAAGCGGCAGCTTCTGCTGTTGCAAGAATGGGCAGAATCGCTTGGGGAGTACCACGGCCTCTTCTGTGAGGCCGTGGTACTCCGTATCAGCGTGAAATTTAAGTATGTATTATACTTTCGCGTTTTATCCGGTGAGTGAGGTAACATGCGCCTCTTTTTTAATGGCAACGCATTTGCAACCCATCAGGTGTTGACGTACATGCGTGGCGGTAGTCACTTGATATCAGATGAACTGCCTGCTCGCCTGGCAACTTCTCCACAGATAAAGGACCAACGGGTGGTGATGAACCATTTTGTTAACTCACATCTTCAGGTTCCCCGACAGTGAGGACTGTCCCCGAGGATGGATTTCTGGAGGTCCGCAAAGGGGAGTACGTGGACATCGGCTGCGAGGCCTCCGGGACACCACAGCCTACCTTCGAGTGGAGGAAAAATGTGAGTGGCTCCAGTTACTCAATGCGAAACTTTCTTTTTTTTTTTTTTAAACTTTGCCTTACTTTGAACATAAATTTCACGCGGACAAACACCCAGATGCGAAACAACTATCTGTGGGTCACACAAATAGTTGTCCCGTGTGGGAATCGAACCCACGACCCCCGACGCCGAAGCCAATACATTGGCAACTGCGCCATGAGGTCATCAAGATCAAGAAAACTCGATCAGATGTTAGTAAACTTGCTCTGTGAGATTGGCAACGGCCAGATTCACCTGGTGTAAGTGACAACCACCGCCCATGGACATTGGCAACTCCCTTAGGGTTGCAGATGCGTTGCCACCTTTTAATAAACTGGGCCCTGGTTACCTCACTCGCCAGACGGAACGCAGAACACTTCTGTAAGGTCGCGGTACTTCCCCGGACTGACCTGCCCATTCGTGCAACAGCGAAGACTGCTGCATGGTTTTACCACATTGTAAAGCTGTTTTATTTTTACTAAAAAACCTAATTAAAAAGTATTTTGACTAGCACTTGGTGGGTTTTTTTGTTTCAGCAATTTTCAACTGCTAATCAAGCAAAGACACGACTAGAACAGGTCCATTTCACTTGCAGGGCGAGGCCATGGCACTGTTGGAGCATCGGTCCCGTATTCGATTCCGGGCCGAGCACCGACTCCTGGCCGGGGTATACGAGTGCACCGCGAGCAACGGGGTCGGTGACCCCGTCAGGGCGGCCATAAGGGTCATAATACAAGGTCAGCAAGATTAAACAGACATTTGGCACACTTGTGTAGCGAGATTTTAGGATCAGGGGAGTGTATAATGCTCCAACAGTTCCGTGTCTGGGAAATTAACAATATAATTTTTAGAAATGTTGAACATGGGTTGAACACCCCACCGGCTACGCCCTTGATTTGGCGGGTCATAATAGAAAGTCATTAATCAGACCTGATAGCAAAACTTTATCGGTTCTTTTCCTCGACACTATCCTCCATATCCTAGGCAAGAAGTAACGACTGGCAAACAATGGCGACGACAGGTTTGACTTAGGGTGGCAAAGCGTATTAAAGGAATATTTTTACGGACGTATATACATATTAATATACATAGAATAAGTAAATAAAAAGCGTATTATACGCTAAGTGAGCTCCTCCAATATCGATATGTGTTCGGCGTGCCCTCCTCGGACTTCTAGCATTGACTGCCTACCGTGTCTCAGACGCGCCCGTGGTGTCGGCTTCTCGCAGCTTCGTGCACACCGCGGTGGGACTCCGGGCAGCGTTGCTCGCCACGCTGGAGTTCGCGGCGCCGCCCGCCACCGCCGCCTGGTACAGGGACGGCAGGCCCGTCAAGCCCGACGATAGGTAAGGAACGCTTTAGCCATTCATTCAGTAATTCCGGGCTCATACTATAGGACTGAGGTATCTCCGGCCTGTCGTAAAAGGCGATTAAGGGGACACGGATTGGCAGCGGCTCGGAGTGGCCTCGAGCTGCTGCAATGGCGAGGGAATCGGGGAAGGTTTACCCTTCTCCTAAGCGTGCTCACTTTGAGGAGATCCCGGGGTCCCTCCAAACATACGAAAGGTGGCCACTGAGGGGGTTTTAGTGGGTAAGAACCCCACATATCCGTTTCATGTAAGATGACAGGGTATCTTTCGAAGATTTCCCCCCCGATACAAAAGGTTTACCACCCTTCTCAGATGTGTGCTCACTCTGAGGAGATCCCGGGGTCCAAACGTACAGAAGGTGGCCACCGAGGGGGTTTTAGTGGGTAAGAACCCCACATATCCCTTTCATGTAAGATCTTTTGAAGATTTCCCCCCCGATACAAAAAAAGGTAAGGAATGCTTAAAGTGACGTAACAGCCTATATGTGCCACTGCTGGGTAAAGGCCTCATCTGTACAGAGGGTATCAAGGCATGGTACGACACGCACTGCGGATTGGAATATTTATCACATATCTTCAAAATATTAAATTGTTATTACTTCGATCATATGTAGGTTTCATCGCGATGTTTTCCTTCACCGCTGAGCACGTGAAAAGTCAGCGCTTAAAATTGTTATTAACAATTTGATTGGTGTCGGTAATGGGAAATGAACTCAGGTTGCTCCTTTCAATTCAATATACTCGCGCAACCTGAGTTGAAATCCCGGTGTCAGCTACAATTAAATTGTCAAGTTTGAATGCTGATTTATCACGTGTTCAGAGATGAAGGAAAAAATCGTAAGAAATTCTGTTAATATTTCGAATATCTTCTTATAAAATATTTCGAAGATATGTGAACTGCACCAATTATTGTATAGAGGAGGCCTTTGCCCAGTAGTGGGACTTTTATAAGCTGTTATTTTACTTTTAACTATTAATTCCTGCCTCGTACCCGCTTGCTACCGCAGCGCCACTAATTAAAATATCGGCTAAGACAAAAAATCCTCTCGACTTATATAGTGACCAATTGCGTGTATACATTAATTACAGGACAGTGATGATAGTTCAGGACAACGTCCACCAGCTGATATTCCGCACTGTAAGGAAATCAGACTTAGGAAACTACACATTCCGCGCGGAAAACAAGTTGGGAATGGCCGACGTGTCTTTCAAACTAACCGGTGAGTGCAACGAATTAAAATAAACCCCTCATTTCCACTTCTTTCCCAAGAGCCGTGATAGCTCAGTATCCGGGCGCTCGCCTTTAATTCAATATACTCGAGCAACCTGAGTTCGACCCCCGGTGCCGGCACCAATGAAGTTTTTAACTTTAAGTGCTGACTTATCACGTGCTCCGCGGTGAAGGAAAACATCGTGAGGAAACCTGCATATTTTAGAAATAATAACAAAATAAAAATTACGAAGATATGTGAAGTCCGCCAATTCGCAGTGGGGCCGCATCGTGGACTATGCCCTGTGACCTCTGTAAAAGAGGAGGCCTTTGCCCAGCAGTGGGATATGTCTAGGCTGTTACTTTACTTCATTTCCACATAATTCTCCCATGGATATCATCCTCTTATAAGGGTTTGCTGGAAGAAAACTTTTTTGGGTTACGCTCGCGTTTGTACATATTTCTTGTAACTTTCTTTTCACTTCTACTCTGTGTACAATAAATAATAAAGAAAGAAGAATAAACAATGGATATAAGTCTCCTCTGTCTATTTTTCTAATTTCTCTTTCTTCTAGTTAGTTCTCTAGTTTCTATTTCCGATTTCGACCACGTGCCAAATGAAGGATCATACGCACTGTAGGTAGTGTATGACAGACAAAACGCTGTGTGTGCAATATTTATTGTCGAGAACTATAAATTTTTTTTTTAAAAACCCTCCCTCACTTTAAGATAACATTATCCTGTGTTGTAAGGACGCTATACAAACATAAATTCCACATGGACTAACACCCAGATGCGAAACAACTATCTGTGGGTCGCACAAATAGTTGTCCCGTGTGGGAATCGAACCCGTGACCCTTGACGCCGAAGCCAATACCTTGGCATTTGCGCCACGGAGCCATCAACCAAATCAAAGTCAAAGTATATTTATTCAATATAGGCCTAACTTAAGCTCTTATTGAACGTCAACAAAAAGTCTACCACCGGTTCACTAAACTAGACCTGCACAAAGAAGAACCGGCAAGAAACTCTGCGGTCTTGCTCTTTTTGCTATATATATTTTTTGATGCAATTAAACACACTTATTTAGGTATAAAATCAGCAGCAGCCAGGGATCTTGCAAGTGCAGAGCAAGAGTCATTTCCAAACATCCTTGTCCTCTATGTATTCTTGGATATTATAGTAGGCCCTTGCCCTTAAGGTAGCTTTTACAAATTGTTTGAAACTGTTTATACTTAGTTGTTTGTGGATGTCACCTATTTCATTATAAAAGTTGATGCATCTTCCAAGAAACGACATAAATATTACTAGTACTTTATTATTCGTGTATGTCGGTAATTTGTATGACGCATTAATGTTGTTCTTTTCGCTCGAACTAGGCGTGCCGAACGTCGCGTCGTTCAAAGTCGACGCCGCCTTCAACAAAGCTACCTCCACCAGCTTCACACTCATCTGGGAAGTGGATTCGTATTCGACAATCATCGGTATGATTTCTTTATGAGAATTCAAGAAGTTTAAGAAAGAAAAAAAAAAACATTTATGAAACGATATGGATCGCCAAGCATTGCTAAAAATGTAATAGAACGATATAAATGAAATGTAATACAACTGTGGTAGGGCCACGCAGCATCCTCGGCTGTTGCACGAACGGGCAGGCCCGTCCGGGTAAGTACCACGACCTCACAGAAGACCGGCCCAAAGTGGAAGTATAATACTTTCGCGCTTCGTCTGGTGAGTGAGGTTGCCGGAGCCCAATTTCCAAAAGGCTGTCAACACATCTGGAACCCTCATGTGTGGCAGATGTCCACGGGCGGCGGTATTCACTTAACATAAGGTGAACCGCCTGCTCGCTTGGCAACTTTTCACATAAAAAAAAGAACGAACGTCGACAGATGGCAAGATTTTCGAGCCCTGAGGTCATTGGCCACTTAGCTTAGTTGGTAAAGGCGCGAAACCAGAAGACACAGGTTCGAATCCTGCAGCGCCGAAAGTTTTTATTTATTTATCTACAAAAATTTAAAGTTGATAAAAGATTTAATAGTAGGTGTTATCACTAGTTTTCAAATATTTAATTGTAAAATGTTATATGAAAAAGTATTCGTTTGGTGTGAACACACTAGATGTCGCAAAACATGCTTTATCAAGGTAATAAAAAATGAAGTACATAAAATACGTAGAGATTTTCATCAGTGTGAGAGTGTCAGCTTCGGGCACATTTATCACGGAGGACGTTGGTTCCAATCCGCACAGTGGCGAAAAACTTTTCGCCCATTTTTTTTAATCGAATTTTTTAATTTCATCTCAATTGAATAGCATTAAAAAAATAATATCCTTCGAGAAGGATAACGTGCTAAGGTTCACCGGACTCTAAGTAATTACCGCCCCCATGGACTTCCACAATACGTGGGATGACAATCATTGTTAACCTTTAAAAGGGTGTACCTTGTTACCTTAGTCACTTGCACTTTCTACGGTGGTAGGGCCACACGGCAGCCTCGGGCTGCACAAATGGACTTCACAGAAAGTCGGCGTCAAGTGGTAGTCTGGTGAGCGAGTGGGCGGAGCCCAATTTGCTAAAGGTTGTCAACGCATCTGTTACCCCCGGGTGTGGCAGATGTCCATGGTCGGCGGTATTCACTTAATATCAGGCGAACCGTCTGCTCGCATGGCAAATTATCACATAAAAAATTCACCACCCCTGTGGACTTCCACAATACCTGTGGGATCACGGTCCTTTGTAATCTTCAAAGGTAGGACCTTTTTGCCTTAGCCACTTGCCAAAAGAAACGAATCAACCACAATACTCCTACTTCAAAACGGTCTTTCGGTGGCTGGGGTATCTTAAAAAAAAAACGGTCTTCCGTTGGCTGGGCCACCTTAAGTGCCACTTTAACAAACATCTACCGCAGAGTACAACCTGTGGCTCCGTCCATACTACGGTCGAGTTAGCACCGCGGAGCCCGACGCGTTCGCGACGGGCGCGCCGGCCAACGTCTGGAGCAAGATCGTCGTGCCCGGCGACTCGAGCGATGGTAAGAGCGTTAGCGGAAAAAACTGTAACAAGTTTGGTTAGTGTTGGTTACAAAAGAGTGAAGAACACGTGATCATTAGAAGCCTCCGTGGCGCAGTCGCCAAGGTATCGGCTTCGGCGTGGGGGGTCGTGGGTTCGATTCCCACACGGGAAACTATTTGACCCACAGCTAGTTGCTTCGAATCTGGTTGTTTGTCCGCGTGAAAATGTATGTAGAACGTCCTTATAACACAGGATAATGTTATCCTAAAGTAAGGGCAATGTTTTTTAAAAAGAAACCTGTCATAGTTTAGAACTGTGTTACAGACTACAGTGTCTTCCCCTCATAGTTAACACTCATTGTTATTGTAAGAAAGTGAAAAATTGAAATAAAATTCAATATATTTTTTTTTCTAATATATGATTATATCTTTACTTAGTTGTAAGCAGTTATATGACTCGACTGATTTTGGTTGGTTTTGGTACATACAAATATACTTTAATTTTCCAGGACCAATACACAGTGCAAGTTACATGGTGCGGGGGCTCACACCGTCGACGGTTTACGAAGCTATCGTTACCTCAAGAAATAGGTCTGTAAATTGGATATGATCTACGCAATACAGCAGTTGTTTTTTTTTTCCTTTTTTTGGAATTTCCAACTTTAACGTTTTTTTTTATTACATAACATACATGTATTAAAAAAAATGATGACCTTTTCAACTTACTTCAAAAAAGCAGGTTCTCAATTCGTTTGTATTTTTTTGGGGTTGTTTTCTCAAATTCTGCCATTTAGGAACCGATTTTAAAAACTCATCCCGTTCGGGTTAGCTGACATATGGTCTCATTTCAATTCAATTGGTTTTTCTACTCCTAAGACACATACAAGGTACCTATTTCAAATCGTTTTTGTCTTGTCAATAAAATTATTTTACTCGTTAAAGACTAATTCATGATACTTGTTTTTTTAGTTCGCCGTTAATTACGCTGCATAGATTAAATTTGTAATTAGTCATTTATTTACAGATTCGGCTGGAGCAAGCCATCGGCTGTTTTACATTTTGCTACTGAGCCCGGAGGTAGAACTACTTACATATATTATCTCCATGTATAAAAACTTATGATTAACCAGTAATTAATATTATCCAGTCTAATTGTAATAATTAACGACATTGGCTAGTATGTTATTTATGTTGTCACTACTAATTAACTCCAACTACACAATCTAGATAGATACTGTATGGATACTGTCACGAAAACGTAAAAGTTCTTGACGAGAACTACTTGGCATAGTTAATAAGGGGGCAACAGTCTAGGCAACTTTTTTTTTCGTACTCGTCAAAATCAAAAATTTGGATTTGGTGAATGCGACCGTTCCAATACCCATGGTGAACAATGGTACCGACACCAAAATTATTAAATTATGTTAGATATTATGTAGGTTAGGTTACATGGGTTAGATTTTCAAGATTTAATTATTATTAGTTTTAGTATTATTATAAACTTTTTAGAGCTAATACAGTTTTTTGAAGTCGGTTCTTTTTTTGTTAAGGTTTTTATTAAATTTCATCTTGGGCAGAAACTAGCGCCAAAAAATTAAATGTCTTTTTTTACCTAGTCTAGTTATTTTAAACATGTTTCTCATTCAACAGCGGGCCGCACACTCCCTGCAACCGCGCCCGATTACACAGACATAACGCCGATTTTGGAGGAGCCCGAATCGGACCAACCCTTAAACATAACACAAGCGCACGTTTTCGAACGCTTCAACGAAACGCCAATGTCGGATAACGGAGGGCGGGAAAGTTCCTGTCGCGCATTTCTTTTGACAACTTTATTAACCGTTTTTATTTTCAGTTGAAGAGTTCATTTTTATTTACGTTAAAGGCAATATTGCAATTAATGTTGAAAAAGAAATAACGACAAGTGTCGTTATTTTTGATTTTATTAAGTAGGTATTTAAGTTGTGCGAAATGTCATCCAGCCAAACTGTTGATAGTGTCAATGAATCCATTTTCGTGATGTATAATTTTTATCATTAATTAAACTGTAAATTTGATATTTATTGAGAATAAAATATTTTATACTTTATTAGTATAGACAATATTTTGTTTATCTAGCTATATTATATATACTGGGGCCATGTAGATGTAGTAAGTTTCATCGTAAATAAATTTATATTTAGGATACCTATTATGTAAGTGATGATTATTTTCTCAACATGAAAGCAAAATTTTGAGATAGTCATATAATTTTTGAAGACAATTTAATTTTATGTAAACTGCTTCATTGTTAAAGGATTATATATACGATATTGGAAGAAATCGTGTCAATTTCCATTAACTTTAAGCAAAACCTTAATTATGTATTTCATTCCTACAAATATATTTTATATCGCGAGTTCAATTTTGAATTATTTTAAAAAATTTGGGTGCATCAGATTCTACATGTTAAAAAAAATGTAAATACCTAGTAATGTTAGGTTCGAGTGTAAAATAAATATTTATGTTTGAAGTACTCTTTATTTTCTTTTCAACGTTATGTTTTGGATGTTGAGATCGTCTTGTGTGCTGCAAGGTCCGAAGTACAGTTTTATCGATTTCAAATTTAGACACCTTTATTTGCGATAACTTTGACCTAAGATATACCTGTATATTGTTAGGCCTTATACATTTTGTTAGTTGTAGCGAACGTACTTTTTGCACAACCTCCATGATGGGTAGAATATAGCGAACTTACTGTACTAAACACCTTATGCTTAACCTATTTTTGACAAAATATCATTATTATAAGATAATATAACACTAGGTGTTCTGTACGAGTGTCCGGCACAAATTGTTCAACAACAAAGCCAGCTATAACGACATACTTGTATTCGTATTTTATTCGGCGACCAATTTAACATATTTGCATATGTTCGGGCCGATTTTATTACCACCGAAACGGGCTTCATTCCAATTTCAATTCAGAACTCAAATTCGGGTACAGTTGCAGGTTTTTTGCTACCCAATTCTGCTTGGCGACGTGTTTCTCCCCCAAAATAGAAGTATGAAATAATAAATGCATATATATTCATACTGCTGTGCCGATTAATACCGACATGCACAAGTTAGAATGCGAGTGTTGAATGACAGTTCCTTGTTTCATAGGAAATAGAGGTTGGAATAAGACAAGTTATGTACGATTATTTATTCTCATATATCATCAATACATTCATTTTTTTTAATTATACTAAAACAACCGCTTCAGATGTCGTTTGAATTGTTTCGATATCGTTAAACTTTGGTTTACATCCAATTGTGATATCAACAGTTCATGCTGAATTTATGATATATACATACATGAATGCACATTAATTTATAGATATATATAGATAATATGACACTTAACATCGATACTTGCGATTTGCGTAGATTTAGATTTACTACAGTAAATAAAAGTCTCTTTATATTCCTAGTTCACGTTAGTTTCGAACGAGTAATAAAACCTCTTTCAACATTTATCTCTTAACTATTACATAAACATAAATAAAACAGTTAAAATACACTCCCCCACGGCGAAATACGATTAGACACACATTACACCGACTTAACAATATACGAAATCTTGAATGTTAAGATTCATTATTGACAAAAAAGAAAATGGCGGCGAAAACGCGATCGTCGAACACTTCGGGGCGTGACGCGCCGGAGATTGCACTGAAATGGCTATTGCTGAGATCTGCGGTCGCTCCTGTTTTCGCCACGCGGACGCTAGATGGCGTCCGCGCCTCGAATCACGTACGAAATCCATTGAAATCCCCATAGGTGAGCCCTTGTCCGATGGGGACGTCGACGCGTTTCGTACCCACCGTCCTTTTATAATTATAACATCTGTATTTTGATGTGACGTTTTTGAAAATGGCGGGAAGCGTCCCGCGCGTCCGACGGAGGCGTTTTCGCGCGCTTTTTTATTTTTATTTGACTATACAAGAACTTTTTGGTCGCACGGATTGCCATTATGCAATCAATGGAACTGAATGAATGAATTAATGGGACCGGAACCAATGCCCTCGAGCGAACAGATCGCATGAACGACAACGTTAGATATAAACGATTAATATATTAATTATATGCCGCACTCGGATATCTCAATTAGCGCTTAACTGACGTTAAATGAAGTCCCAATCCAGTCTTATAGACTACACTCGATAATAAACACTTACTCAACACAACACTACTTAACGTTGGCTAATTGCTAGTTGAAGTTTCCGAGTGTGAGCAACTCACATTTAAATAGAAACGTTGATTAAATTACCTAACCTAATAGATGTTCTTTTTCTGTCGTTTCCGAGTGACCTTACGTAGCTTCCATATGCACAAACAGAGCAAGTCCAACTTAAACTTAACTATTTTAACAACGAAATGGAATAGTTCACTAGGTAACGTTACTACCCGTATGAGGAATTGACGCTGTCAATTCGCGAAGCATTAAAAACGAACACATTCTTGTCTATGGAGTGGTAGCGAGAAATGCTCAATCACCCTTCCATAGACAACTATACACGACTTCAATAAATCTTGTCTATGGTCTGTGAGATACAACAGCACCGGAAAGTAACACAGCTTATCAAGTTTAAATGCAAAATAGCGACTTAAAATCACACGAATGTATCGTTGTAATATATGGGGACGATTAAACTGATAAAAACGACACTCCTTTGTGCAGATGGAATTAAAAAATAATCTAGAAATATATTACAAGTCCACTGTTTTAAATCGCTCTCGGCGCCAATACACGAACCGCCCAAACATAGAACGGAAGAAGCACAACTATCGATTCATTAATTAGATATGTTAACATTACCATATAGAAATCTCAATAATCTATATCCATAATAATCAATCAATAGAATTCACAGAGAAATGTAACCGTTCCACTATTATTAATTCACAATTACAACCGAGACTTGGGTACGAACAGATCCAACATCAAATGTAACAGTTTCTATATAACATTAAAGTGAAAACAAACTAAGGGACGCACCGACTTGTGTGAAGGGAATTTATTTCTCTTTTTTTGGGCATTCGCACCGATCACATCGGGTCCTAACTGCCAAATGCCAAACGGAACGCTTTTCAAACGTGGCCAGAATTGCCTTTGAACAACTATTTATTATTTTTTTGACGTTTCAAACCAAAATCAGATATTCGGGGTTGCCATTAAAGCTATCTGCACCGGTGCGCCCCCCGTGGACATTCGCAGAACAGGAAAAGCCGCGGACTCGCAGAGTTCCCGACACTCGCACTATGGCACTTTCACGGAAACGATTTGTACGCTGAGAGAGCACGACACACGGCGAATTGGGTGCGACGTTGCCAGCTCGGTGACGTCACTGTACTGTGTAACAGTAACAGGCGCGGTCGCGACAGCTATTGCGTGCGCCGTTGCCAGCTGGATGCGTTCTACGACGCGACTGGCACGCACCGCGCCGTTGCCAAATTCACCAGCACTTGTCGAACAAACGAACACGAACACACGGCGAATCGTGTGATCCCTGTGACGTAACATATACACCCGACATACTGCGACGTTGCCTGCTCGGTCGCGAACTGTGACGTAGCAAGCGCACTGTATGCGCTCTTTGACGCGACTGGCGCGCACTGGCCTCTTGCCAACTTGACATGTCCACTGTCCATTAACTGTCCGACTTCAAATCACCGCGATATTAAAGAGGAGGCGGGGCGAAGTCATGAGGCGCCCTCTATAAAGGCGTCCCGCGGAATCAATGCCGGGACGATGAAATTGGGTCCCGTGCGCTATCACACCCCCGCCTCCCACGTCGCCGCACCTCTGACAAAACGCAACGTGTCGCACCCCAAACACTTGTGGCGAAAAAACTAGCACAACTTCATTCACTTTGCGAAGCCGTCGCTACATCCTCGGATTGTGGTGGCAGTGTAAAAGACCACCCGTCGGCCCCCCGGTGCAAGGCCGAAAGTGCGCCGACTGGAGCGGAGCAGCGCGTGCGGACCGGTGAGCGAACGAGAGAACGGAGGGGCGGAACGAGCGGCTCCGGTGACCGGAACGAGCGGCTCTGGTGACCGGAACGAGCGGCTCCGGTGACCGGAACGAGCGGCTCCGGTGACCGGAACGAGCGGCTCCGGTGACCGGAACGAGCGGCTCCGGTGACCGGAACGAGCGGCTCCGGTGACCGGAACGAGCGGCTCCGGTGACCGGAACGAGCGGCTCCGGTGACCGGAACGAGCGGCTCCGGTGACCGGAACGAGCGGCTCCGGTGACCGGAACGAGCGGCTCCGGTGACCGGAACGAGCGGCTCCGGTGACCGGAACGAGCGGCTCGGTGACCGGAACGAGCGGCTCGGTGACCGGAACGAGCGGCTCCTGTGACCGGAACGAGCGGCTCCGGTGACCGGAACGAGCGGCTCCGGTGACCGGAACGAGCGGCTCCGGTGACCGGAACGAGCGGCTCGGTGACCGGAACGAGCGGCTCGGTGACCGGAACGAGCGGCTCCGGTGACCGGAACGAGCGGCTCCGGTGACCGGAACGAGCGGCTCCGGTGACCGGAACGAGCGGCTCCGGTGACCGGAACGAGCGCGTTCACTGCGTGGTGGGCGCTTGCGGCGCGTGGTGGCCGCCCGCCAGCCGCAGCGCCCTCGCCCCCCTGTGAGCGCAGCGCAGCGGCAGGTAGCAGCACAGGCACGGCACGAGCAGACTCAGCAGCGCCACGCCCACCCAGCTGCGGACGTTGACGGGTTGAATGTATCGATATCGATGTCCGACCGTCGAGGAACCAAAACACTAGGAGCGTTAGGTTTGTCGATATCTGCACGTGCACGCGTGCAAGACCCCATGAAAAACGGGCGTTAAGTGGAAGCGTATATTTGTGAGTTACGTCTGGTGAGTAAGCAAGGTGACTTAATTAAAGGGTGGAAAACGTATTTATAACCATTATGGTGTGGCAAACGTCAATGGGTGGCGGTTATCACTTAAAATATGAACCGCCAGCTCGTTTGCCACTGTCTTACATAAAAAAGTCAAACATGAAGACGGCCGCGTGGCCCTACCGCGGACCTACGAAGCGGCAAAACTGGCAATACTGGCCACCGGTACATCTGGCAACACTGGCCACTGGCACGTCTTGCAACACTGGCCACTGGCACGTCTTGCAACACTGACCACCGGTACATCTGGCAACACTGGCCACTGGCACGTCTGGCAACACTGGCCACTGGCACGTCTGGCAACACTGGCAACTGGCACGTCTGGCAACACTGGCCACCGGTACATCTGGCAACACTGGCCACCGTCACGTCTGGCAACACTGGCCACTGGCACGTCTGGCAACACTGGCCACTGGCACGTATGGCAACACTGGCCACTGGCACGTCTGGCAACCCTGGCCACTGGCACGTCTGGCAACACTGGCCACCGGTACATCTGGCAACACTGGCCACCGGCACGTCTGGCAACACTGGCCACCGGCACGTCTGGCAACACTGGCCACTGGCACGTCTGGCAACACTCACCGCTTGGCACGTCTGGCAACACTGGCCACTGGCACGTCTGGCAACACTCACCGCTTGGCGCACGCGTCGTCCGGCTTGCCGCAGGCGCACGGGTGGAGCGCAAACTCCCCCTCCGCGTCCGACATGCAGTGGTACACCATGCACTGGAACAGTGGAAATATTTCATTAATATTTTTGCCTTACAGTAAAGTAACAGCCTATATAATATGTCCCACTGTTGGGCAAAGGCCTCCTCTGTACAAAGGGTTCAGTTCACCACGCGACCACACTGCGACTTTGCGGAGTTCTTCGAAATGTTTTTTTTTTTGGTTATTATTCCGAAAACATGAAAGTTCTTTACCTCACGATGTTTTCCTTCACAGTTGAGCACGTGATAAGTCAGCAATTATAGCTACCGAGATTTGAACTCGGGTTGCTCTAGTATATTGAATCAAAAGCGAGCGATCGGACACTGAGTTATCACGACTCTTTTAAATTTACAAAAGTCAATGATTTACGAAACTGATACTTTCCTTTAGTTAATACGTAAATATTACAGACATACTCTAGCCGGCAAACGATGTTATTCCATATAAATTGTCTGTATGATGGAAAAAAAATTGTTACTAAACTATTCTCAAACGTACTGAGGTGTACATAGAAAAATTCATCAAAATCGGTCAAGCCGTTCCGAAGGAGTATGAACATAAAAACTGTGATACAAGAATTTTTTACAGGGTGGCTTTTCTAAAGAAGTAAATTGTGATAAACTTAACTAAAAATAAGTATAGAATGTAACCTTGAATATGTCTAAGCATTTTGTATACCAGAAATGGTTGAATATGACTGAACCGTGTAATATAACTGTCAACATATTTATACCATATTCAAACAAATAAATAAATAAATAAATAAAAAAAAAAAAAAAAAAGGTGCCCAAATTCACACAGGAGGTTCAGACTCGGTGATATAATCGTTTATTGAAATAACAAACAACTTGTTTTTTTCCAAAAAAAAAAAATTGCAATTCTATTCCCTAAAAAACAGAACTTGTTGACAATGCGCTAGTCCTTCATAAATACGTCGTATACTTTTGAAACAAACTTGTGTGCGTGTTAATTATGAATGATCACGAGTAAAATATGAGTTGCCCATAAATCACGCACTTTTTGAGATAAATTCAAATGAATGTAATTAATTAATTACGAGTGATTTTAAATATTTATCATTTTTATCACATTATTTACATCTAGAATTTAATTAAAAAAAATGGATACATTTAGAAAAGCCACCCTGTATATTAGATTAGAAAAAAGCAAGTGATGAGGTGTTAGTGTTAATGGATCGGTGTCTGTGGCGGGTGGAGGTGTCAATAGGTGATAACAGCGGGTGGAGGTGTCATTGGGTGATAACAGCAGGTGGAGGTGTCAATGGGTGATAACAGCGGGTGGGGGTGTCAATGGGTGATAACAGCGGATGGGGCTGTCAATGGGTGATAACAGCGGATGGGGCTGTCAATGGATGATAACAGCGGGTGGGGGTGTCAATGGGTGATAACAGCGGATGGGGCTGTCAATGGGTGATAACAGCGGGTGGGGGTGTCAATGGGTGATAACAGCGGATGTTGGGTGTCGCGTGAGGTGGGCTACCTGCGCGCACTTGATGCAGGTGAGGCAGTCGATGCAGGAGCGGCAGCAGTCGGGCGCGAACTCGCACGCGCCGGCGCGGTTCGCACTCTCCAGGTACCACTCGTTGCAGTGCCTGAGGGGGGGGGGGGGGGGGGGGACGGACACTGTGTACACTTTACTGAAAGCCGGCAACGCATCTTTTTTTGTGCGAAAAGTTGCCAAGCGAGCAGACGGTTCACCTGATGTTAAGTGAATACCGCCGCCCGTGGACATCTGCCACATCCGAGGGTCCCAGATGTGTTGATAACCTTTTGGAAATTGTGCTCCGGCCACCTCACTCCCAGATGAAACGCGAAAGTAATTCCACTTGACGCCGTTCTTCGTGAGGTCGTGGTATTTACCCAGACGAGCCTGCCCACTCGTGCAACAGCCGAAACTGTTGCGTGGCCCTACCACAGTTAGAGCTGGTGGTTCACCTGAGGTTGAGCGATTACCGCCACCTATCGACAAATGATACACCCGTAGCGTTGCAAATGGTTTTATGGTGGTATGGTTTCACAAATAAAAAATCATTGAGTGAATCGTCAAATCGCTTCTCACGCAAAAATGAAACGGTCGCAACGAAACTCACCTGCATCTTATCCTCCCCTGGATGGGTTCCTGCGGCTTTTTGTCCGGCAACGGCGGCGGTCCGGCGTAGCTGCGCTTCTTTATCGACCCTGAAACGGACAGTGGGGTTGTTTGAGCGACGGAATCGAACCGACGACCGTCGTAGGCGACGGCGGGTGGAGTTGGAAAACTGCTAATATATGAAATGTTTTAAACTTGTCTATGAGTAGAGAGTAAATTATCGTTTATATTGTTTATCTTTTACGGTGGTAAGGCCACGCAGCAGCCTCGGCTGTGGCACGAATGGGCAGGCCCGTCCGGGTTAGAACCACGACCTCACAGAAGACCGGCGTAAAGTGGAAGTATGACAAATACTTTCGCGTTTCGTCTGGTGAGTGATGTAGCCGGAGCCCATTTTCAGAAGGTTGTCAACGCATCTGTAACCCGTAGCAGATGTCCATGGGCGGCGGTATTCACTTAACATCAGGTGAACCGTCTGCTCGTTTGGCAACCTTTCACATAAAAAAAATATCAGATGCGTCTTCTTCGTTCTTTGCGTCTTTTGCACGAGCCAACCATAAGCTGGCGATAAATTTCAAAATAATATTCATCATTGGTTAATTTAACCCCATCACCGGACACTGAGCTAACCAGGCTCTATATAACTCTCTAAAGTAGTCGATCAGGCGATTAATTCACTGATCAACGAATGCTCAAAATGGTAAATTATGCTCAAGGTGATAAATGAGTGAATATTAGATGAATCTAATTTATCGGATGGAATATCTAATTTACCGGAATCCCTCTTCAGCAGCGGTGGTTTGGTGTTGGGGGAGGACTTTTCGGAACTAATGACGCCCCCCGGGCCCACCTGCGGGTACGTGTACTCGTGCACCTGGAATTGTTACGTGTACGATGAGCCTTTTGTTGCTTATACGGCCAGACGTAGAGCTTTTTTCATGTTTTTCAAATATATTACATAACGCCCGGTTTCCGAAACACTGATCATCGTAGATGTTATCTTCTTATTTCTCATATGTTCTAGATATGATCTTCATGATCAGAATGAACAATCCAAAGAGTTTAACAACCTTTTGGGCAACTCAAATAACATTTGAAAATCCATTTGACAGCTTATTAGTTGAGTTCTACGATGATCGGTGTTTCAGAAACCTGGCGTTAAATCGTTTCCTTTGATAGAATAGAACAAACACAGCCAAAATGACGCGACCGAAGCCTAGGTCGAAGCCTAGCTATAAGTGGATACTCACAGCTTTCAGATGGACGTAGGGGCACCTCTCCAATTCATCATCGCCGGGTGCCTTTTCGTCGTATTGCACTTCGTACTGCTTTAGGGATTCTGGAAAGAGCAGGGAGGTTACTCAGAGGGTGAACAGAGCGAGAGGAAGAATGATCATCACCACTATACTCCACCTAGGTGGGGTCAGCACAGCGTGTCATTGGTGGCTAGACTGTCTGGGACCAGCACCCTTGTCAGCAAACACCCGGAAGTTTTTTTTTTTTAATTTAATTTTTTTATTTTAAAAACACTGCCCTCACTTTAGGTTAACGTTATCCTGTGTTGTGAGGACGTTTTACAAACATAAATTCCACTTGGACAAACACCCAGATTCGAAACAACCATCTGTGGGTTGCACAAATAGTTGTGTCGTGTGGGAATCGAACCCACGACCCCCGACACCGTAGTCAATACCTTGACAATTGCGCCACGGAGTTATTTGTGACTTGCACAAACATAATGCTCGTGTGAGTATCGAACCCAAGACTGTCACTGACGCCTATGGCTTACCAGCCGCGCCACAGTACAGAGGGAGAATGGTGATTTTTACATATTGATTGAAAGGAAATGCCCGGTGTTACTATATTTATTATATGTGTCGACACGTTTATCATAGCTAGCATTAGATTCGTTTATTTACAAACATCAGTCTAAATTGCTTATCAATAAGATTCCAGTTGACCAATAACTAATTGCGAAAAGCCCTAGACCCTCAATAACAAGAAATATATAATTAAAAATTATTGCACAACTTGCTCATAAACGAAGTAACAAGCATTAAAAGATAATTGACAATAGTCATACGATAAATAATCATATTCGAATATTGTGCTAGTTGGTGTATGTGCAGGTGAGTGTTTATGTAGGGGTGAGTGTTTGTGTAGGGGTGAGTGTTTGTGCAGAGGTGAGTGATTGGGAAGGTGAGTGTTTGTGCTGGTGAGTGTTTGTGCTGGTGAGTGTTTGTGCTTGTGAGTGTTTTTGCCGGTGAGTGTTTATGCTTGTGCGCGTTCGAATGCTCGTGACCCACCGGCGAGCGGGTGGCGCGGCAGCGTGATGGCGGACAGTATCGGCGTCTGAGTGATGTCGGGCCGCCGCCGGCTGCCGGTGGACGTGTCCGAGCTGGAGCGCGAGTCCGACGGCAGGTTGAGGCACTGCGGGAGGCGTGCGTCGGGGTGTTAGGTCACGTGTCGTGTGACGTCACGCCGCTCCGTGGGCGCTGAGGTTATTAGACGTCACGTGTAGCGGTGACGTCACCACGTCACGCCAGTCAGTGAGCGCTGAGGTTACAAGACGGCGTGTCGCAGCGACGTCACGCCGTTCAATGGCCGCTGAGATTATTAGGCGTCGTGTCGCGGTGGCGTCACACCGCTCAGTGATCGCTGGGGTCATTAGACTTCACGTGTCGCAGTGACGTCACGCATTTGAAGTGGAATTGTTACACTTCGGCGTTTCGTCTGGTGTGTAAGGTGACCGGAGCTCGCATTGTTAAAAGGTGGCAAAGCGCCTGCAACCCTGCGGGTGTTGCAAATGTCCGCGGGCGGCGGTTATCACTTAACACAAGGTGAACCACCAGCTCGCTTACCAACTTGTCCTGATGAACCTGACACGTGCGCGTGTTGGCCGTGAATCGCCACTGGTGGACCCGTGTTCACTTACCTCGAATATGTTCTGCTCCTCGTCATCATCTTTGGGCGCTGGATTGTGTTTTTTGTACGCGTGAAGTGACGGCCACGCCCCACCCAGACCTACAGACGAACACACAGTCAGACAGACAACCCATAAACGTTAGATCTAACGACCCCGTGACCATAAACATCAGATCTAACGCCTTAGTACGACCCCGTGACCATAAACATCGTAAAATATTCGAAACTTCAGGAAATTGTCGTGATAAAATATAAAATTAATAGGATCCATCTCAATTCTCATATTAGGCGAGGCAAAAGTTGTCATATTAATTTTAAATAAAATAAATCAATTTAATTTCATATATTAGTGTTAGCCCTTTAGGTCAAAATTAAGATGTGTAGATAAATATTCGAAAAATTTTTCGCCCTTCTGCCAGGATTTTTCATTTTCTTAAAAATTTCATAAAACCAAATTAGATAAGATGTCGATATTTTGGCGTGGTGAAAATGACCACATGCTTAGTGGTTAGACTATCTTTGCGCGTCACTCGGAAGGTACAGATTTTAATCCTGACACAAACAATTAAAAAAATAAGTGTGTGTGCGTGTGTTTGTGTGTGTGTGTGTGTGTGTGTGTGTGTGTGTGTGTGTGTGTGTGTGACTGTGTGCGCGTGCGTGCGTGCGTGCGTGTGTGTGTGCGTGCGTGCGTGCGTTTTTGTTATATTATGTTTAGATCCTCCTTTATTGACTTTTTAAATGCATTGTATGGCAGAAAAAATACGCCTACATGTGAATATTTGGTGTTGTATGTATGCGAGATACGATTCAGAACAGAGTTTCCTGCATAACGAGTATGTACTAGTGGCGTACGACTGGAGAGTAGGGAATGTAGAAACATCATATCTATCAATTCGCGTCTTTGCTTGAGTTGTGGTAGTTTATCGTATCTGCAGCTATCAGCAGCCTCTTCGTAGCTATACGAAGTACGACAATTTTTAAAATTAAGATGTTTTATAAATTTCTTTTGGATGTTTTCAATGTCATTAATGTAGGTATCATATTGCGGGGACCAAATACTACTTGAATATTTCAAAGCACTACGTACGAAACTGTAGTACAAAACCTTTAAGCAATATGTTGACTTAAACGGTTGACCTGTTCTTATAATGAATCCTAACATTTTGTAAGATTTGTTTATACTTATTGTAATTGTTCCTGGAGATGACCAAATGCTGATGGTTAAAGTAAGATGTTTCCACTCACCGTGTAGGAATCCAGTATACGGTAGAGGGAAGGCAAAAGAAAACACATTAGATAAATTAGTTCACGTTTATGTATATATGCGTAGAGTCCATATTCCTTTGGCGAATGCATGCAACTTGCACCCGTTGTGTTATATATTAAAAAAATTAAGTATTATATCAATAAAAGATAACAGGCAAATTATTAAATATTCACCATTAAATAGTAGGACACTAAAAGTAAGATTTTTTTCAAAATAATATTGTATTATATTAGCTAAATATAACATTGTTATATAGTAATATTTTTTAGAATTAGATGACGATTATTTTTTTCCTGAACTGGATTTTCTTTCTAGACTTAATTAATTACTTAAAAAGAGAACTGTGTTTTGTTAAATACTACGATGAATTGACCTCCATAGTATTGTTAACAATGACCATGTATTAATAACATTAACCCGTTTTGTATTTATTAATCACATATGTTATAAAAACATTTTTCCCAGTAGGTACTTTATGTGCCAATCGTGTTGTATTTGTCCCGAACTTCGGTACAGTTATGGCGAGCAGAGTCAGCGTCGCCATGCAATTTACAAAGTACGGCATTGCATTCACTGCGGTACTCCCGGTACAGTTACCGTCATACGCCGAGTACAGTCGCTACTAAACCTAAAGTACGGCCTGCTTTTTCACTCCGCGATCCGGTACAGTCGCCGTCACACGTCCAGTAAAGTCACCGTCACACGTCGAGTATAGTCGCCGTTACGCGTCGAGTACAGTCGCTAAACTTAAAGTACGGCCTGCTTTTCACTCCGAGCCCCGGACTGGGGTACAGTCGTCGTCACACGTCGAGTACAGTCGCTACTAAATCTAAAGTACGATTCCCGAACTGCGGTACAGTTGCCTTCACGCATACATGGTACAGCCGTAAAGGTCCCTAAAGCCTACGAACTAACGTACAGCACGGCTTTCGCTCCGCTTTCCGGTACAGTCGCCGTAACACCACGATTACAGTTGCTACTAAACCGTCACGAACAATTTACAAAGTACGGCCCGCCTCTCACTCCGATTCCCGGACTGCGGTACAGTCGCCGTCACACGTCGAGTACAGTCGCTACTAAACTTAAAGTACGACCTGCTTATCATTCAGATTCTCGAACTGCGGTACAGTCGCCGTCAGACGTCGAGTACAGTCCCTACTAAAACTAAAGTACAGCCTGCTTTTCACTCCGCGTTCCGGTACAGTCGTCACACATCAAGTACAGTCGCTACTTAACCCAAAGTACGGTGTTTTCTATCCGAGTCCCGAACTACGGCACAGTCGCCGTCACACGTCGAGTACATTCGCTGATCAACCTAAAGCACGGCATGCTTCTCACTCCGAGTCTTAAACTGCGGTACAGTCGCCGTCACAGGACTACAACAGCGAACCCATGCAGTTTATAAATTACGAGCTAAAGTACAGCAAGGTTTTCGCTTCGCGTTCCGGTACAGTCGCCGTCACACGTCGACTACAGTCGCCACTAAACCTATAGTCCTTGACTGCGGTACAGTCGCCGTCACGCGACGCGACGTGTACAGTCGCCGGCACCGCCTTACCGTCCAGCAGCTCCTCGATGGCGGTGCGCACGCCGCGGTCGAAGGCGCGCGCGTCCGCCGCCGTCTGGAAGGTGAGCCCGAATCGCTTCTCGTCCGTCACCCAGTGGTGGAAGGTGGGCATCACCTTGTTGTACTGGAAGTCCTTCTTTATCGTGCACTCGAGCACCACCTGCCGGGGGGATAAGGCCGGTGGTGTAGTGAGCGCGATGTTTGAAAACCTTTGAATTTGGTCACGGGAAATTTACGTCTCTGAAGTTGGATTGGATTTCGGATTAAGGCCGGGGGTGTAGTGAGCGCGAATTTTAAATAGTGGAGATCAAACCCACGCCCAAAACGCAGGGGACAGGTTCACTACGCCACTACGTCGAAATTGGAACAAATTAATTCTTGCCGGTACGAGGCTGTGTTAAGCTAAGAGCGGCCAACTTGTATTTAGACACGATAACTTCGGTACAATAGTAAACTCGCCAATAACATTTTGGTAGTTTTGACATAAGTGTACTTATGTGGTATTGACATAAGAAAAAGAAGAGAAGAAAAGAAAGAAAGAAAGAAAATACATTTATTTACCAAAAATATTTGTTGGTTTTGACATAAGTACACTTAGTACATTTGGTAGTTTTGACATAAGTGTACTTATGTCAAAACTACCAAAATGTTATATTGGCGAGTTTACTATTGTACCGACGATATGTATATGAAAGCCTGGTACTATTTCAAACATTTCCTTTGCACCTCTGCACGGATTGCTTGCCCGGTTATGAAAGCCTGGTACTATTTAATAACATTTCTTCACACTTCTGCCCGGTTATGAAGTCCTGGTACTTTTCACGGGGTTCCTCTTCTGCTTCACGTTGTTCCTCTGATTCGAGCAGAGGCCTTACCCAGGGCAGATTGGACAAGGCGGTGTTATCTCACCATGTTATCGCTGATGCGTTTCCCGTGAATGTAGTACTCGTAGATGGGGGCCGAAGTGGATGAGGAGGTCGTCTCGCCGTTGCTGTCGCCAGCACCTGGAACAGCAGACGGTCATTCCTCAACAGGATTCTCCTCACCTAAATAGTTTAGAATGTCTCTGTGCCGTATTAGTTGAGACATTGCCCTCGACGGTTCTGTAAATGTCCATGGGCGGCGTTGATCACTTAATATCGGGTGAACCGCCAGCACGCTTGCCAAATTATAACATAAAAAAAAACTTTCCATAGAACTCAGTCTAGTTGCAGACGGGAAGTCGATTCTAAATCGATACCATAAAAAGGAAGCCGTATAAAGAAAAAAAATGTAGCTTTTAACCCTTCAAAACTTTCTTCAAAGCGTTTTCTGAGGTTTTTATTTGAAGAGATTTTATTAATAAACAGTTGGGTAAATTAGACCTTTTATTGAAAAAAAACTTACGCAAAATTATTTCGAACTTTTCAATTGAAAAATTAAAGCAACTTAACACACTTTTTCCCTTTTTCTTGCCCTTATATACGAATCAATAGACAGAGCCATTAAAATAGAATTTAACATCCCCAGTATTACGATTTGATAGCTCTTTATACAGATGAGGCCTTTTCCCAGTATTAAGGCCGTTACTTTACTCATGTTATGATAGCTATGTTTTCGCCGGCACATTGACATCGGCCTAGTTTCACCGACATCGGTTCCGCTTCGCCGACTGCTTAGCCGACAATTCGGCTCCGATGCGCGGTTGTTTCACCGACGCGAGCACTTACCGGAGGCGCGGTGGTGGCGGCGCTTGCCGACCATCACGTCGGCGAGGCCGCCCCCGCCCAGCGCCACCCAGCCGCCGGTGCCCTCATCGCGGCACATCACTTGCGCCCGGACGCGCACGAGGTAGGCACTGGAAGAGGCACGCGAATCAAGGCTCAGGCTCCAATTAGGGAGAAAGGGGCAGACGCTCGATTTATCAATTTTCAAGAAAGGGGTAATGTATCAAGGCTCAGGTTCAACAATAAGCGATAAAGGGGCAAACGTATCAAAGCTCAGGTTCAACCGTCAGCGAGAAAGGGGCAAATGTATCAAGGCTCAGGTTTCACAGTGAGCTATAAAGGGAACGGTTGTACTCATGGCCACCCCTGCCCATGAACGACCATAACAACTTCTAATCTCAAAGTAAGCTTGCAGTCACGTTGAGGGACTATGGTACTCCGCTAGCCTTGCGGAACATAATACAGTTAGTTCACCTTATAATGTGACGTTTTCAGTCCCGAGACTATATAAGGCTTATCTAATGTTATACACGTGGCAACTATTTTGTTCGATGGAGTCTAAGTCAGACTCTAGAGTCGCGTATGTGAATATACGTGTGCCGTTTATATAGTGTTTTGGGAGAAAACTGCATTAACCGAATATTCGGGCCAATAGAATACTGATTTATTTTAATTAAGAAAGTTAAGTAGTTTTATGATATTTATTATGAATAGCGTAATTTCTATATGGTGATCGTTTGTTTCATTTTTTTTGTGCATCTACCTCAATTTCTCTCAAAAAATGTCTATGTTATTCAGTCCGTTTTGGGGCAAAGTTCTTTTTCATCATTTTTATCGTCATCCACTGCTTGCCACAATCCAATGCCACAAACCTTCCGCACAGACTGCCAGGAAACACGATTCTGAGCCACCTACATCCGTCGACTTCCTTTTCTTCCATTCGCACAGGTCGTCACTCAATAGATGTGCCAGTCCAACTTTACTCGGCGGTGTTATAAAAAGGGTTCTATGTAAATCAATAACAACACGAAATTCGATAGCAACATAGCCTACGAAAACGGTCAATTTCTCAACATGCTAAATTTAAACGGGTCGCGAAGAGTTTACAGGTCGGCCAAAGTTTACGTTTGTTATGCTTCGTTTTGTGTTTTTTGCTTTACAATTTCCTTGTTTTTCTCTTTAAAACAAATTCATACAGTCTAATTAAAGCCGAGTGTTTTTTTTTTCTTCGTTGAGGCACATTTGTACGGACTAATTAAAGACATTTTCGCTTAAGAAATAGAGATATCATTGCAATTTTCTTCGGGAAACTATGGCTTTTGGCGTATAGGTATGAATAATGTATGTGGAGAATTTTTGTGGAAATTTGGAAATGTGGAAATTTTGATATCTTTCTCTTAAAACTATCGAGTTAATGCTTTAATGTGTGGTAAGTGGATGTGTGTAGGATCATGCTTTGTGGCGGTCTGTTAGCAAGGCATATATCTAGCAGTCTACGGTGGTAGGGCCACGCAGCAGCCTCGGCTGGTGCACGAACGGGCAGGCCCGTCCGGGTAAGTACCACGACCTAACAGAAGACGAGCGTAAAGTGGAAGTATGACAAATACTTTCGCGTTTCGTCTGATGAGTGAGGTAGCCGGAGCCCATTTTTCAAAAGGTTGTCAACGCATCTGTAACCCTCGAATATAGCAGATGTCCATGGGCGGCGGTATTTAATTACCATTAGGTGAACCATCTGCTCGTTTGGCAACTTTTCACATAAAAAGAAAAAGTGTACTAAAACAGGTTGCAATGATGATGATGTAGTTGTTCTTTATGGAAGTTATTAATATAATGACTTCTTGGATTCAAACGATAAAGAAAACTATCGAGTTAATGCTATAACATTCGGGAAGTCGATGGATGCATTTCGCTCAATAGCGTGCCTCGTGGCTGTCTGTTAGCATTTGCCCAGCAGTGGATTAAAACAGGCTGGAATGATGATGACATAAACGCGATAAAATCTGCAAAAAGGTTTCTATAATCAGAACCTGTTTACAATATGCGGTACCTACTCGTGTAACTCGAACAAAACACAATGGCGTTTTTACAAAAGCAGGCAGGATGTGGGGACATGCAAGTGAGTGTAGTGAGTCATTCGTCACTTAACGCGTGTTACAAGTTGCAGTTACTAACGCCCGGTTTCTGAAACACTGATCATCATAGAAGTTAACTAATCAGCTGTCAAATCGCTTTTCAAATTTCCTTTTTAGTAGCCAAAAGGATGGTTAAACTCTTTAAATCGATCATTCTGATCAATTCAGAGAGTTGAAACATCCTTTTGGCAACTCAAATACATTTGGCAGCAGATTAGTTAACTTTTATGATTATCAGTGTTTCAGAAAACGGGCGTAAGACTGTTGAAGTAAGCAAGCGACCAACCAATTAGGGTCAAGTGGGCTAGTTTTTTAATGAGCCAACTTAATTATTACATCCCACACTTTAGTAGTGGCATTTGTAATGCTATCTCCTCATGAGACTAATATGTCAATGGTCATATCTTGAGAATTAATAAACCTTTTGTTTAGCGAACAAACTGTATTGTTTCGCGAATTGAATTATTTAATAAATTAATCAGGATTGTTAGAGGAAAGTATTAATACGGATTTATTGAAAGCGAGTGTAGCGGTTTCATTATTATTTAGTTAACGGTGTCTCAATAAAGTTTTAATAGTTTAATTGGTAAACTGACTTCCTTACCTGACGCACACATAACAATTGTAGTAGATAGATAGACTGTGGTAGGGCCACGCAACAATGTTCGCTGTTGCACGAATGGGCAGGGCCGACCGAGTAGGTACCACGGCCTCACAGAACACCGGCGTAAAGTAGAAGTGTTACACTTCTGCGTTTCGTCTGGTGAGTGAGGAAGCCGGGGCTAACTTTATTTAAAGGTAGTAACGCTTCTGCAACCCTTCGGGTGTTGCTAATGTCCATGGGCGGCGGTTATTAACATCAGGTGAACCGCCAGCTCGTTACAACACAGGATAATGTTATACTACATTAAGGGCAATATTTCTGCAAAAAATCTTATCAATCATGGTACTTTAGAACGTCACCTAACCATGTCCAAAAACTAGACATTTTACATACTCTAGATCTGGAATCTTATTTATTTTTATTACGTTTAAAATATAAATGTTTGTACATTCAACAACAGAATTGTGGTAGGTTTTCTCTTACTTCTAAATGCTTATATTTTTGCCAATATGATACTGACATAATTATGAACATATAAAATTAGTTAAGTCAGGCGCACGCCGATTACAAAAAGATTCGAATTATAGGCACTAGAGTAGAACACGACATAAACGTGACAATTTTACTCAAAGTAAATATTTGTTCATTCAATCAAAAACTGCACCTTTAAACACAAAAATAAATAGCTCAAAATCCCCAAAAACCAATTTTATTTTATATTAATAGACATTTTTAGTTTTAGTGAGACTGTTTCCAATTTTAACCGTATTTTTTATTTGGCTCTCTTATTGTGTAAATGGAAACCTTATGGTAGTAGTAATAAGACCGCCCATTTACAACCCTTACATAGTTGTTATTTTTAATGTATATTTTTTTAACCATGGTGTATGCAATAAAAATATTCCAACTATTCTCTATTATTCTCTATTATCGCGTGATAACACATTAAAAAGACACCAATTATTAGACGAAGCAGTGCAATACTACTTGAGTATAAAGATTTTCCTATTATTATTATATACTTTGTTGTGTATTTAATACAATTAGTATAAAATAAGTCTTAAAAGCTAGGTACAAAAAGGCGGTCTTATCATTAAAAAGCGATCTCTTCCAGACAACCTTAGGACGAGGAAAAATAAGCGAATGTATAGTGGGTGGTGGTGTGCTCAATAAACTTACTTAAAACATAAAGGTAGTCCTGAGGGTAGACATATTTTATTGATGATTTGATAAAACGCATAAGCACAACGCGACATGGAAGAGCACTCAATGGCGTCAGTAAAGGCGCCAATTTCGTTTGGCGATGGGCATGAACAACGACCCCCCCCCCCCCCTCGCGCCCCGCCATTCATACATTCCCATTCACCGCGGCCCCGTACCATTCAATGGCGGCGCGGAACCACTCGCTTTCGACGGAGGTGACGCGTTCGAAACGCCACCGATGGCTGCCGTCGTGTGCATCCGACGACGCGTCATAATTTTTCGGTTCAAATTTCATTCGACTTGACTCAAATTCTGATATGTACTCGTATGATAAGTAGACTAGGAGATACTCGTATGTTTAGTAGACTTGTAGAATCGGATGATAAGTAGATTAGTAGAATGGGAAACGTTCAGTTATTAAGATATTTGAGGTCGGTTTTGTTTTAACTAGGATTCCGTACCCAAAGGGTAAAACGAGACATTATTACTGTCTGTCCCTCTGTCACTACGCTGTATCTCCCGAACCGTGATGGTTAGACAGTTGAAATTTTCACAGTTGATGTATTTCTGTTGCCGCTATAACAATAAATACTAAAAAAGAGGAAAACAATATTTAAGTAGGGCTGCCATACAACAGACATGACTTTTTGCCGCTTTTATAGATAATGGTACGGAACCCTTTGTGTGTTTCCGACTCGCACTTGGGCGGTTTTTTATTTTAGTAATAAAAAAGTACTTGTTATTCCAAAGGGATGGTCGATTTGACAAGGGTTGCACCTAATGATAAGTGGTTCCGCCGCCCTTGGACGTGTCCTACTAGACCAGACATTTCCGGGCGTGTTGCCGACCATTGAGCGGGGGTCCACCCCTCTGTCTCCGTCTTCCGAGATTGTGATACTTCGGTACGAGTCGTCTCATCACCATCATTTCAGCTTAGACCAATAATTCATCAACATAGAACTCCCCCACAGACCGCCATGAAGAACGATCCTGAGTTACCTTCATCTATCGACTTGCCGCACACTTGCACAGGCCATCACTCCATACGAGGGGGGGGGGGGGTCCTACACTACGATGCCTAATACGATGCTGCCACTCGAGAACCCATCTATTAAAATAGTTTATTAACTAACGGGATAAAACGCTATAACATTCGAAGTAGATGAATGTATCAGAAATCCCCGTTGCA